CGGAAATTGTAAATCTTTTTTTATATATTTTTATTTCCCCCTTCCCAAAAGTCGGGGGCAGGAACTCAACCAACCGAGAAAAGCCGAGAAGCATTTTTCGAGATAGGTACCATCTTAGTTGATAAGTTAAATTTAATACACCGAAAGGCTGTTAAGGCCAAAAATCCAAAAATTCAATTAGATATAAGGGATATGCCCTAGAACCTCCCCTGAATCTCCAAAATCCTACATAAGCCGCAACTCCGACCGGCTCACTCTCTATCTCAATCATCTCTGTCTCTGTGCACTGCTACCTCTCAATCTACTGCAACCATCCTGTGCTCTCCAAACTCTGCAACTGCAAGGTTTCTGCCATCCAAGATCCTCACCGCGGAACCTTCCTAGTAAACAAGTTTTGAACGTGTTTTGTTAATCCGAGTGAGTGTGTTCTGGCGGGCCAGGATCTCTAGCATCAGGGTTGTCACATCCAAAGCAAGTGGAACTGTTTATTTCCTTCCGGTTTCCTTCCGCGCATATCTTCGCAACCCAAATTATATTTTAACATCCATAACTTATATTCACTTAATAGTGAATAACGAAAGAATTAATCGAAAGACGGCTAGATGGCAACGGCGGGAAGCTAGGTTCCGAGCGCAAAGCCTGTTGGATCAGGCCTATCGGGAATTCCTCCAATCCATCAACCGCGTCAGAGCTTCACCAACGGAGAACAGATCTCATACACCACCGCCGCGAATCCCAACGCCTCGCACTCCATCTCCTGTTTTCCACCGAACCTCCCCTTCGCTCTCGCGAGTCTCAGCGCCTCACACTCCATCACCTATCTCCTTTCCCTCAATTTTGCGGGCCTCGCGTTCCGTCGCCACCTCGTCCACAAACTCCCCCTTCACCAGCGATTTATTTATTCACCAGTTCCACGTCGAGCATGGAATTCGTGGCGAGGTTCCACCGGTACCGTCGGTATTCTGTGAGGAGGAACTTACGTTCTGTGACATCCTCGCGCAGTTCCCTATCTCCACGGAAACTCTTCCTCAGGGAACATTTACAATAAGCCCCGAATCCATCAACCTGACCGCACTCCGGAAGCATGTAACATGCAACACCGTCCTGATAACACCATCGCCACATATATCCCCGGAGTTATCCCTATTTAGTCCCCATCCGATATTTCTATAGAAGGTTCCCGCCCACAACCATGAAAATTCGCGAACTCCACTAATAATCGAATCTTTCTTTCGTTTCCAACGCATATACACACACACACACACACACACACACACACACACACACACACACACACTACGAACTAATAAGTAAAAAA